TAATTATTGACACATTTAATTATTTATTTAATGCTGTATTTATTTATTTAATTTTGGCACTTTTTATCCCCCATATTAGACATCCCTTCAGAGAAAATATAACTACTGGTAGAGAGCAAAGTAATGAGGTAAAGAACTGAAAAAAGGCCTAGAGTTTACATGTATTTAAATTCTACTTTTTTTACACAAAAAAACATAAAAGAGGTGCAAATGTCCAATATAAGAAAAACTCACAGAAACGCAAACAGACTGCAAAGTTTTTTTTATTTGAATGTTTTGTAATAAGATGATTAAACAGCAATGTTGGTCAATTAACTGGAGCCGAGTTTATAAATGTGCAAAAGAAATGAAAATTACTCGCAAACATTTCCTCAGCATGAAACAAATCACAGGAAACCCAAACCTTGAAAAGGTCGATTTTTTTTTCATTTTTTTCCTCCTAATTTATTATCAGCTTTCTGGTTTTCCATCATCGTGTCATTCACTCAACTTCACAAAAAAAGCTGCTTTAAATTCAGGAAATGTCTCAGTTGTACAGGCAGACAGGTTAAAAACACACAATGTGAGTCAGTTTTCATCTGTAGATGGGATTATTTTTTACTGTAAAGCGATAGGATCATGTTTTATTTGAAAGTCTGACATGAGAAACATTGTCTAACCTGTTGTTCTGAATATTTTCTTTATTTGAGGAAAGCTTGGGGAAGCGAACCCATCATCCAGGTTCCCCGTCTGGCTCAGTTCTGAGGCGAGTCCAAGCAGGAAACCCGGCGGCGCTACATGAACATGTCATCGTAGCCCGGCGGCGGCATGTGGTCTGGATCAGGCCTGTAAAGATAAACCACATAGAAACGTTAAGCTCATGAACTTTTTGGATTTTATCAAGTTGAAAAAAATTCCAGAAACTGCAGGAAATTCTGTCCCTTTAAAAAATGTCCCTAAAAAATTGGTGGAACATGGTGCAGGTCTGCTTTGCTCCCCAGGTTAAAGGCCAGAACGCGCCGAATCCGATTCTGCGTCTGATCTGACAGAAAATCGAGTCTTAGAGGTCATGGAATTTAGCGCTCATTGAAAGTTAATGGGGATGATTTCCTGCAGGGGGCAGCGAATTCATGGGCTGCGTCCTCTGAAGGCCAGATTCGAAAGCCGATTACGTCATAGCGCGGCGCCGAGGTCTGGTCTGATTCCAAGAGTCCTCGTTATGCGGCCGACAAACGCGTCCTTCTTTAGCCCGATTTGAAGGACGGGTCCGGTGTATCCTCTCTATCCTTGGGTATCCCAGGATTCATTGCCAGTTCGAGCAAGCTGCTCTGTGATCAGAGGAAACAGGGAAATGGCGCCGCACAGTGGTGAATAT